GGGAAAGAGGTACCAACGAGGGGCTGAAAGGGGTTCCAATGAGGCTCTGGGATAAGACATTCTGGAGAGGCTTTGGGCAAAAGGCTGTTGTTGGCTGAAATGAGCCGGAGGCTGGGAGAACTGGTAACAAAAGTTTACTCCTCTGTTGAAAATTCTCCAGTAGCTTCCCATCAGGGAATAAAACCCTAACTCCTTAGCATGAACTGCTATGTAAAATGCCTACACAATAAGGTTCTTTCTCTGTAACTGACCAAGTCTTACTATTTCTTCCACTGGCTCCCTGTGCTTTGGCTCCTGGAACACACCCGCTGATTCTGTCTGGGGCCTTTGAAATTACGGTTCCTTCCACCTGGAATGCTCGGCACCCAAGACTTTGTGCAGTTGGCTTCTTCTCACCATTCAGATATCACCCCAAATGTCACTTCTGCAAAGAAGTTGTCCTCAACCTCCCGTTCTTCATAAAGGAGCTCCCCAGTCAAACCTATCACATCTGTCTTCTTCAATAGCCCTGATCACTACAGCACAGTTGTTGTTTGCTGTTTACTAGCTTAAGATCACACCTGTGGCTCCCTCACCAACAAGGATGTATGACCCTTGAGAGAAAGGACCTTCTCCATCTTATTATATACTCATTACATACAGGTGCTGAACAAATGTTAATTTAAGTAAAGACTGACCCGTTGAGGAGAATGAGAGTTGCCTCAGGGATCAGAATGAGGCCTAAATATCAGAATGGGGTCCAACAGGACAATTAAAAAGCAGGCAGCTCACACACCTATCAGGATGGCTACTATCGAAAGAACAGAAAATAAAATGTGTTGGTAAGGATGCTGAGAACTTGGAATCATTGTGCCCTGCTGGTGGGAATGTAAAATGGTACAGCTATTATGGAAAACAGTATGGAGGTTCCCTGCCCCCTCAGATTAAAAATACAATTACTATCTGATCCAGCAATCCCACTTCTGGGTATGTATGCAAAAGAATTCAAAGCAGGACCTCGGAGATATCTGCACATTCATGTTCATCATAGCCACGAGGTGGAAGCAATTCAAACGTCCATTAACAGATGAATGGATAAAGATAATCTGGTATATCCACACAATGGAATATTATGCAGCCTTAAAAAAGAACGAAAGCCTGTCACATGCTACAACATAGATTATAATGTCATAGAGATTATTCAGTCACAAAAGACAAATACTGTATTATTCCACTCGTTTCAAGTACCTAAAGTAGTCAAAATCATTGACATGGAAAGCAGAAAGGTGGATACCAAGGGCTGGGGGGAGAGGGGGAATTAGTGTTTAGTGGGTACAGAGTTTCAGTGTTGCAAGATGAAAAAGTTCCAGAGATTTGTTGCACAACAACGTGAATATACTTAACTCTACTGAACTCTACCCTTACAAATGGTTAAGATGGTAAATTTAACGTTTTTTTAACCACTGTAAAAAATGATAAAACATCTATTAATATGGAAATATGTTCCTGTTATGTCATTAAGTAAAAAAGAACCAGGAGGTCTTCCCTGGTGGGGCAGTGGTTAAGAATCCGCCTGCCAATGCAGGGAATATGGGTTCGAGCCCTGGGCCGGGAAGATACCACATGCCGCAGAGCTACTAAGCCTGTGCGCCACAACTACTGAGCCTGCAAGCCACAACTACTGAAGCCCGCGCTCCGCGACCAGAGAAGCCACCGCAATGAGAAGCCCGGGCACCACAACCAAGAGTAGCCCCTGCTCGCTGCAACTAGAGAAAAGCCGGCACGCGGCAACACAGCCAAAACTAAATAAATAAATTTATCAAAAACACACACACACACACACACACACACACACACACACACACAAAGAACCAGTAATAAAACCATGTTACAATAATAATAATAATAAAAGTGGAAAGAAAGGCTAAGGAAGTTTCTCGTAGGATGCCCAAGCTGGGGGAAGGGGGAGGAATGGGCGGGTGGTGGGAGGGCCTGGTTGGCCAGTCGGCCTCGGGGTAAGGAAGCCCTAGGCCGACAGGGCCAGAGCGACGTCTGGGTAGCTGCGGTCGGGGGAGACAAGAGGGAGAAGGAGGCCTGGCGGCGAAATGGGGGGCCGGGGTCCCACCTTGCGCCTGCAGCATCCGTAGCGCGCGGCTGTAGAGTGTGGCGGCCTCGGCGAACTGGCCATTGCGGAAGCTCAGGTTGCCGGCGGCGCGGAGCTCCTCCACAGAGTCTGGAAGTTTGGGGGCCATCCTGGCGCCGGACCGGTAAACTGGGGGGTGGCCCCGGTTCCCAGCGCCGAGGCGTGCCCAACCGCGTCTGGGCGGAAGCACCGGCTGCGAGTATTTGGGTGCAACGGCTACCCTGGCGGGGAGAGGGCGGGACGGAGCGGGGCACGGGCGGGGCCTGCGCGAACCCGAGGCTCCTAGGGCCCCTCCCTCTGCGCATGCTCAGTTCTGACCTAGCGCGGAGCTGCATTGGGGTCCCCGGAGACTCGCTGGACGTTTTGGCTTGCTAGAACCCTAAGGATGAAACCGTGAACAGGTCCCTGCTTGCCTGGTGTTTACATTCTAGGGGGGGCCTGACTTGTAGTTACCTCATGAGCAAATGAAGACGATAATCCCATGATGTGATAAGTGCTATAAGGAAAACAAAACAGTAATACCATAGAAGGTGACCACGTGGAGACTTTTTAAGTAAGGGGGGTAGGGAAGGCGTTTCCGAGAGACTAATAATTGAGGCGAGACCTGAGACTATTTAGGAAATGCTGTTTCAGACAAAGGGTTAGCAAGTGCAAAGACACTTAGGCTGGAAACTGGCACCTAGTTATCTATAGATACTGATTTTATAAATGAATGCAATGATAGATTGATGTAAATCTTTCGCTGAGGGAAACTAGCTTATCTTCAGATTCATTTGACTTCACTCTATGCCCCACTTACAACTCCAATTTTTTTTAAGCTGCTTGTTGCTACCTGTGCATATTAAGCTGTTTCTTTTGCTTCTTAACCTTTGCTTATGCTCTCCTCTTCCTGGAATTCTTTTCCAAACACTTTTTTCTCTTCCGTAATCCTGACTCAACCAATAATCAACTCAGACATCATCTCCATAATCTCCCTCCTCTGCTCGTATTGCTCACGGATTTTATTCCTAATTTAGGTCTTATTCTGTGATTGTCAGTGTCGATGAAAATTAATCAATAGTCAATCTGTGAAAGAAGTGGAAAATTTTATTTGAGCCAAGTTTGAGGATTGTAACCTGGGAACAGCACCTCAGCTCTGAGAACTGTCCCCCCTTTAGAAGTCAAGGCACAGTTATATAAGTTGAGACAGAGGGCAAGTGTCATTGTGACCCCCTACAAGATCAAGAAGGAATGGTATCTTTTAAGAAGTTGTCTTTATGCTAGGAGAATGTTGCTGTTTATGGTACAGCAGGTATTTCTGCTGATGGGGAGGTTTGGTTGATGCATAATGCAGATACACAATGCTCAGTAGGGGGGAGAGAGGAGGCCAAAGGGCAGAGAAAAATTTTTATGGTCACATTTTTGTCTTGCCATAAAATATGAATTTTATTTCATATCAGTTTACAGTTTTTCTAAGACTGTGAGGTCTTTAAAGGCAGGTAGTAGGTCTTCTTTATTTTTCTCTCCCAAGACCTAATAGGATCTGGCACCCAACATGCACTTATAAAGGTTTGTTGACAAAAATCTGGTCTCTGCCATCAGGTATTTAGTTATACAATTGACCCCTGAACAAGGAAGCAGTTGGGGACAACCAACTCCTGCACAATTGAAAATCCGTGTGTAACTTCACTTGGCCCTCCTTGTCCAAGGTTCTGCATCCTTGGATTCAACCAACCTTGTGTTGTGTAATACTGTAGTACGTATATATATATATTTTTGGCTGCATTGGGTCTCCATTGCTGCACGCAGGCTTTCTCTAGTTGTGGTGAGTGGGGGCTACTCTTCGTTGCGGTGCGCGGGCTTCTCATTGCGGTGGCTTCTCTTGTTGTGGAGCATGGGCTCTAGGCGCGTGGGCTTCAGTAGTTGTGGCTCGCAGGCTCTAGAGCACAGGCTCAGTAGTTGTGGTGCACGGGCTTAGTTGCTCCGTGGCATGTGGGATCTTCCCAGACCAGGGCTTGAACCCATGTCCCCTGCGTTGGGAGGTGGATTCTTAACCACTGTGCCACCAGAGAAGCCCTGTGGTACATATATATTTTAAAAAATCCGCATGGACCCATGCAGCTCAAACCCATGTTATTCAAGGGTCAACTGTAATTATTTGTGTAAACTCATAACCCAGCCAGACCTTAAACATTCTGAGGGTAGGGTGGCTGTTCCATCCGAATCCCCTCGGCCCAGCATAGGCCCCATACAAGAGCAAAGAAGGAACACTTAGTGTGGTGGGAAAACCGGATGACACACACACACACACACACACACACACACACACACACACTGGTTATCTACTTAACAACCTCCATTTTTACTTCCAGTTTGAATTTTGCCTGAGATTCTCCTGGCCCAGAAAATGGATCAAGATTTCTGTAAACCAATCACAATAATCTCATTCTTTTGCCAGTGACTGGGCAAGGGGTGAGCATGTGACCCTGATCTAGCCGAGGAGATAGGAGGATGTGTGCTGGGTGCTTATGGGAAATTTTTCCTTCCCTGATAAGATAGAGACACAGGACATCAAAACAGCCTTTTCTGCTCTTTTTCTGTTGGATTCAGGACATGGTACCTGGAGGTGTGGCAGCCATTTTGCAATTATGAGTCAATAAGCACACGTATGAAAAGCCAACATGCTGAATCAGACCAGAGAGGAAAGATGAAATCGATGTGCTTGTTCCCCTGAATCAACCCTAGAACTGCTGACTTCTGGACTTCTTAGTTATAAACAAGATATGCTGTATGGTCAGGCCACTCAAGATGGCTGTTCTCTTGCTCTCTGTACATCCCCTGCCGGACCAGTGCCTGCTGCACCTACACCCTACTCACATGACTGACCTTCCTCCGTACTTGTCCTAGGCCCCAGCTAATCATGGCTTATCAAAGGGGTGGTGAGGGGCATGCCCCTCTGCTGGTTTCCCCAGTAACTAATGAGCCCACCTGACATCAATTCCCCTATAACTGGTAATCCCCCCGCCACGCCCAAGCAAAGACTGCCACTATGTCCTGCCTGCCGTGAGCTGCACACGGTGGGGTGTCACTCCAGGACCTTGCTTCAGGCGTGTAAGCTCCCCCATCCATCAAACCATTGATGTCTCTGTTGCTGATTCCAGGTTCTTTCTTCGGTCTTGAAGCTGAGCAAGCTGAATATATTCTAAGTGGTATACCAGACGAGTATACCTGAGGCAAGTTGTATTTTCCCCACATGGCTGAAACAGTATTTCCAGTTCTCCATGCTCCTCCAAAACCTTGCCACTCCCCTATCAAGAGATGGAATCATATGTCCGCTCTCCTTGAAACTGGGTGGGTCTTTGGGGGCCCCTTCAACAGGGTAAATGACATTATGTACCTTCCAAAGCTATGCCATTGAAAGGCATTACAGCTTCCTCCTGGCTCTTTCCAGAAATATACTTTAGAAGCCCGCCTTTATTCTGTGAGGAGGCTCAAGAAAAATGGAGTTGGCCCCCCCCATCCCTGATCACCAAGTGGGCTTCCAGCCAACACCAACACCAATTTGTCAGCCATGTGAGTGAGCCATTTTGGACAGGGATTCATCCAAATTCTGACTGCCACTGACTGACACCATGGAGCAGAGGAATTATGGGTATAATTCTTACTTCATAGGGTTTTTTGAGGCTTAAGTGGTAGCTTAGAATTGTGCCTGGCACATAGATTCTCAGTGAATGTTTTCCTCCTGTCAGGAGAATGGCTCCATTACTCCGCTTTTAACATATGGGGTCCCATACCTGGGTGACCCTGAAAGGTGGTTGATCAGGTGTTAGGTTTTGTAGATGGCATATCTCTGAGAAAAGCAGGACAATTAAAAACAGTGAGAGGCTGCTTTGGGTAACTTTCTCTGAGTAAATTAGGTGGAATCTTCCACTTTCTTAAACACTTGCTGATGGTGGTGGCAACTGAGGATTTATGAACTTCCACAGCTGTAACTGGATCTCTGAGTGGAGAGGAAGCTCTGTCTCTCATGCCCAACCACAGGGTCCAAGTGGTTGTCCAGTTTGGTGGTGCAGGCTCTGGAATCAGATCCATCTGGATTTAAATCCCCAAACCTATACTTTTAGCTATGGGAGCTTCACCTCTCTGGCCTTACGAGAATAATATTACCTAACTTACAAGGTTTAAGAATATTAAATGAGTTAATAGTAGTAGAGTACCGCAAACGTGATAAGCAATGTCAAATAATTAATAGATAAGATTGGAGATAACGTTACAGGCTTGATATAAGGATTAAATGAGATAATATATGAAAGCAAGTACATGGTAAGAGCTTAATAAACATTTGCTATTTTTATGTCCTCAAACTGACTGAAAGGTAAGGCTCTTAAAAGGATGCGGCAATTTGCTGGCTGATGTTATGTGACATCCAATGAGAGGTCATGCACGTTCCAGCCTCCACCTGGAACAAGAATTCAACCAGAAAGGAACGGTAGGAAACCACAAATACCTCCCGCGTAGAATTTGGCTTGTTAAAAATCCACAGTTCTTATCAAGCCGGTGCTTCCCAAGAAGCCTCAGTATCTCCGTCTGAGAAATGAGGGGCCGGGCCCGAGGCACAGATGGGTTCTTGGTTTCGAGGCCGAGTGTCTTGGGCGAACAATGTCGCAAGAGACAAGGACGCCGTCCCGAGCTTGATTGAGGAGGACTCCCCCGGGAGGAGGCTCCAGTACTCCGCAGTTCCGGGTCCGCGCCTCGGCGCTCCACGTGACTCGGGTCCACACCACGTGGTCCAGGCCCGGACCTCGCGGCCCCGCCCCGCCCCCGCCCCGCGCGCCGCTTCCGGTAGGGGCGGAAAGCGGAAGTGTGGGAGGGCCTGCGGGGCGGGATCCAGGAGGTCCCGGGGGAGGATGGATCAGTGAGCGGGTCTGGGCGGCTGCCGGCAGCGCCATGGAGACGGTGCAGCTCAGGAACCCACCGCGCCGGTGAGGGGCTGCTGGCCAAGAGGAAGGGGGTGGGGGGAGAGGGAAAGGCGGGAACTGGCGGAGGGGAGACACTGGCGTGCGAGACCCCGGAGGGGACGGACCTGCGGGGTGATCCGGCTGATGGGGCACCTGCTGAATCAGGGACCTCTGGCTGTTGGGGGTCCGGCCG